CTAGTTTGTGTGTGTGTATCCGAAAAAAACCAAAAGATTCAGCATAAACAACAGCCAAAAATTGACATAATGTTCATAAATCGTCCGAGCATCCAAAAAAGCAAAGTATTTTCGAAAAAAAAACCCCAATTAGTTGCAATTTTGCGATCACATCACGTTAAAACTCATGAGTATAAGCATTGTAATTCACACGTTACAACTCCCTATTTTAGCATTTTAAGTGTCACGTTACAACTCACGAGTCGTGTGTTTTAGCATTGTAATTGTCACGTTAGAACTCTCGAGTTTCAGCATTGTAATTGTCACGTTACGACTCACGAGTTTTAGCATTGTAATTGTCACGTTAGAACTCTCGAGTTTCAGCATTGTAATTGTCACGTTACGACTCACGAGTTTTAGCATTGTAATTGTCACGTTACGACTCACGAGTTTTAGCATTGTAACTGTCACGTTACAACTCACGAGTTTCAGCATTGTAATCGTCAAGCTACAACTCCCTTTTTTAGCATTTTAAGTGTCACGTTAAAACTCACGAGTCACGTGTTTTAGCATTGTAATTGTCACGTTACAACTCTCGAGTTTCAGCATTGTAATCGTCACGTTACAACTCATGGGTTCTAGCATTGTAATTGTCAAGTTACAACGCATGAGTCACGTGCTTGAGCTTCGTAATTGTCACGTTACAACTCCCGAGTTTCAGTATTGTAATTGTCACGTTACAACTCACTAGTTTTAGCATTGTAATTGTCACGTTACAACTTACGAGTTTCAGCATTGAAATTGTCACGTTATGACTTACGAGTCACGAGAATTGTAATTGTTCCGTGTTACGACTCATGAGTTCTAGCATTGTAACTGTGAGGTTGTGCCACGTTACAACTCACGAGTTTTAGCATTGTAATTGTCACGTTACAACTCTCGAGTTTCAGCATTGTAATCGTCACGTTACAACTCATGAGTTCTAGCATTGTAATTGTCACGTTACAACTCATGAGTTCTAGCATTGTAATTGTCAAGTTACAACTCATGAGTCACGTGCTTTAGCTTCGTAGTTGTCACGTTACAACTCTCGAGTTTCAGCATTGTAATCGTCACGTTACAACTCCTGAGTTTTAGTATTGTAATTGTCACGTTACAACTCATGAGTTCTAGCATTGTAATTGTCAAGTTACAACTCATGAGTCACGTGCTTTAGCTTCGTAATTGTCACGTTACAACTCCCGAGTTTCAGTATTGTAATTGTCACGTTACAACTCACTAGTTTTAGCATTATAATTGTCACGTTACAACTCCCGAGTTTCAGTATTGTAATTGTCACGTTACAACTCACTAGTTTTAGCATTTTAATTGTCACGTTACAACTTACGAGTTTCAGCATTGAAATTGTCACGTTATGACTTACGAGTCACGAGAATTGTAATTGTTCCGTGTTACGACTCATGAGTTCTAGCATTGTAACTGTGAGGTTGCGCCACGTTACAACTCACGAGTTCTAGCATTGTAATCGCACGTTACAACTCACGAGTTTCAGCATTGAAATTGTCATGTTACAACTCACGAATTTTAGCATTGAAATTGTCATGTTATGACTTACGTGTCACGAGCATTGTAATTGTTCCGTTACGACTCATGAGTTGTAGCATTGTTACTATGACGTTACAATTTACGAGTATTAGCATTGTCACGTTACCTTTGCAACTCCCGAGTTCTACTGTATTTTTCATGTTACGACTCCCGACTTTTAGCATTTGAATTTTAATTCTTAATTTACAGCTAATCCCAAGATAGAAGATAGTTTTCTAGAGTGCTAATAGCAAATAGAGCAAACAATGTAATATTATGGTGAAATTTTTGACAATTAAATAGGCACTTTCAAATTTGTACAACTACAAGAATATAATGTAAACT